TAGGTTGTTTCATAGCCAAAGGGCTTTATGATTATTTTGTTTGCCATATTGTTCTATTATAAATTTTTAAAACATGAATCTCTGTTCAACTTTGTTGTTAAATCAACACTGCAAATGTGACCGCATTTTCTTTCACTCAGTAAACTGGTTGCTAATTTGTTATGGTTATACTAACTTTGGTATATGTCTCAATAATTTTGTGACTTATAGACTTTTCTGAGGGAAAATGGACAATCATCACACAAATAGTCATGTAAAGAGTCAAGGCTCCTAATGGAGAGTTTTCTTAAATCCCCACAGCAAAAGTTTTGCTTTATATAGATTCCTACGCCCTGTCCCAGAAATGCTGATTTGCTGGGCCTGGGAAATTACTTATATTACTTCTTGTGATTCCCAGATTTGGACTTCACTGGACTTAGAGACTGGTTATAGCTTTCTCGTGTCTACAAACCTTGTACGTCAAATTGTGCCACGTGGATTTGAAATGGTCAGTGGAAAGAGTGTGACCTAGTCAAGTCCTGTATCTATGTTGCCCAGAAAGGCATCTGCCGTATCCTTTTTGACCCCTCACCAAACTGCCTTCTGGAGCAGAAATGGACTTCAGGGAACATGCTGGTTTTATTCAGCCAAATGACGTCTACATAATAGTATAGGTTTGAAACACAGATGAGACCAGAGCGGGGGCGGGGGGGGTGGGAAAATACGTGGCTGTTCAAATTCTCTAAGGAAATAACAGAAGGACACTTTCTAATGGTTAGAGCTCTAGTTTATGTAGAGTTGGCCCTCCGTATCTCTGGGTTCTGCATCCATGTGTTTAACCAACCACAGATAAAAAATATTAAAAACAAAAAAAAATTCCAAAAAGCAAAACTTGAATTTGCCACACTGGCAACTATTTACATATTATTTACATTGTATTTACAACTATTTATATAGCACTTACATCATATTAGGTATTATAAGTAATCTAAAGATGATTTAAAGTATACGGGAGGATGTATATAGGTTGTATGCAATAGTTTGCCATCTTATATAAGGGACTTGAGCATCCTTTGAGTTTGGTATAGGGGTGGGGCTCCTGGAACCAATCCCCTGCACTTACCGAGGGACAACTCTATTATAAGTGTGAAAATAACAAGCTTCATGTTGTGTTTGAATCTCAAACAACAGAATCATTCTTTCTAAAAACAGCTGCTTAAAAGAAGAGCAAACTGGACAGTTTTCTTCCCACTCTCAATAAAGGAAGGAAGCAAAGGGAAAAAAATTCAGTGATATTTATAACAAGTAAATAACAACAGATATTTATTGGAGGAATTATAGCTATCTTCTGCAAAAACAGTTTTATGACTCCAGTTTTATAACATCAGAGGTGACTATAGACAGTCTAGTTTCTAAACACAACCTAACAATATGAGCATACTATTTTATTTATATTGAATGGGAAAACATTAAAAAGCAAGTCTGTCTCTCAGGATACAGAGCTGAAATGAAATATAGTCTTATGGGATTCATATTCAATGGAATTACTCAGCTATTTAAAGCTCTTTTTGGTTTCAATTTTCTTCTCAGTTCCTAATAAGACCTAACATAGTACACATCATCAATGAAAAATATCTCTAAGTCTAGGGAGACACTTTCCTCTCTATGCATGATTCTTTGTCTTTCATATTTCCCTTTAATCAAGGCTACATAAGATTTTAATTTCACACTTTTTCTCACAACTAAAAAGAGACATGTATATTTCTAGTCCACACCAAAGCAATTCTCAATAACCAGGGTATCTGTGACTAAAAAACACTTGCCTCTTCATATTCCTCAGGAATATTCAGGGTACTAAAAACTAAAGTGAATAAATGTGAGTGCACAGGAAGCTGGCAGATGACAAGAACACGGATGGGCAATACACAGTAGTTTAGTGATGTACATTTCAAAAGAGCTGGGGTTTTGGTGGAATAGAGAAGAAATGGCCGTACAAAGAGGTAAACGGGTTGGGGGAGAAAAAACTAGCAATTGAGGGACTGCAGAGGAAGCACTGCTGTTAGGGAACAACCAGGCTTCCATTAGAACAGGAAGTTGGAAAAAACACATTCAAGGAGACAGATCCTGAATTCCAGAGTGTATCATGAAAGGGCTTGAAAGGAACTGCAAAATTAAACTCTGGCTGAAGCAGGCAGCTGGTAGTCTTGAAAAACTTCTGGAGGAAGGTGAATGGTCAGTTCAAATTATATTGCAAAATATTTATATGAAAAGGTACAGAGACCATCTGTCAACATTTACTCCTGCAGCTTAGGACAGGCATCAACCTCTCAGACTAGAAGCTAGTGAAGGCCTCCTCCAGGGTCCGCTATCTTAGCTTGCCTGGGCAAGAAAAGTGAACGTATTCTGATCTCTGGCCAGTCTCCTAGAAGGTATTTACTCTTGAAGATCACAGTCTTTTAAGATGAAAAAGAAAGCCTATTTGAAGAAAAAATTTCAGATGCTATGACACAGTGGTAGGAAAATGTTTTGGTCAGAGAACACTTGCTCAGCAATATAGGACGCATCAACAACTCTGCTTAGCAATAATAAATGCTTAAAAAGTACCACCTGACAGGCACACAGGAAGCTGTTTGCCTATTTTCTTAAAGCAGTTTTAGCAGGGCCAGGAGACATTAGTCCTGGGAGTTTCCACATAGGTAATCAGCAGGTGAGGATGGCTGCCATGACAAAAGGCATGAATATTAATTACAAATCCCTTGTAGAATTTTAAAAGGACACATGACAAGGGAAAAATGATGGAAGTGCCCTTACTGCTGCAGTTCTGTTTAGCCACTGCCACATGTGGGTGACCCTACTCTCGTGTCCACCCAGACTCTTGGGGAAGTGCCTACCCAAGGGTAACCAATGTTACAAGAGTCTTACCCCCTGAATGCAGCAGATCTGTTCCAGAGCCTCCAAACCTTGCTTTAAATAACTATGCAAAGAGGGACTATTACATCACAAAATAATATGTAAGCCATTATCCTATCAAAATAGGACGAAATCAAACAATCCCTTTTCACCCAAATATACCCTTCACACCTTCCAATTCTTTCTAAGAAGTAACAGCAAGGAAGAAATATATAATCCTTAAAACTAAATTACAAGGTGCAGAGACAGGCCATAAATCTAACTCAGAGAAGACTGACAGCATCTTCCTTATGAAACCATGATCAAATAACTGTCCAGATATAATCAACCACCTTTCACAGAAGTGGCTACTCAGGGGGATCCCAACTGGTCTCCCCCTCGCATAGAACCATCATGATGGACAGAGGCACTTTGGTATAATAAAGAAAGCATGGACTTTAAAGTCAGATCTGAGTTCACATTCTGGCTCCAACCACTTACTAGCCAGTCACCTAACCTCACTGAGACTCAATTTTCTTGTACCAATGTTATGAGGATTGGATGGGATATCAAATCCTCAGTAATCCCTGAAACAATAAATCACTACGTGCATAAGACAAATGGTGTTAGGTTTGGGCATTCACTGTATACAAAGAAAGAGGAATGGCTGCGTTAAGAATGGGGAGATTCTAAGTGTTCCCAGACGGATTCTGAGCTGTCTTAAAAGTTTAAAATATTGGTTGTAAACAGATTAAGGCCTTCTCAGAGGGCTAGAGAAAAAGAAAGGCTTGTCACACATTTACATGCATTATCTCATTTAATCCTCACAACAACCCTGTGAGGTAGGTTGTTATTCCCATTTTACAGATAAATCTGTGGCTCAGAGCATTTGAGGGACTTGTCCAAAACTGACAAGCTAGGGCACAGCAGATTTGGAATTAGAACTCATATGTCTCTGACCCAAAAGTCTGCACTTTCAGCTACGAAACTCCATGTAACACGTGAAGGCAGAGTCTTCTCCTTGTTTGAATTATGCTGTGTCTCTTTAAAGGCTTTGAAACTGCAATTGTTCCAATTTCATAAGATGGCATTTTTTCTGTAGACATATATCGAAAAGGTGGAGCCTAGGTGGTTCTTTATTATCTGCGGATCCTTCTAAAACTGTGGGAGAGGAAAATGTAGTAAAGCTTTGCTGTTTTCTTTTAACCTAACAGTGATTAAGAAAGTGGATTATATATTCTGTTGACAACTGTAAAGTCAATTTATCTCAAAACTGCAAAAGCCAACAACTGGTATTTATGATGTAATACACAGGAAACAGGCTCTAAAAGGAAGTGACGTGCTCAGGGTTCCCCTGCTACTAAGTGTCAGTATTAGGGTACAATCCCAGGACTTTAGAGTCTATGTTCTATGCGCCTTTCATAACCCTGTTGAGTGAAAATGAACATGTACTCGTTGTATTTAAAAAATACAAAAGTAGTACATTCTCACTGTAGAAAAATATGAAAGTAGTACATTCTCACTGTAGAAAATCTAAAAAGCATAGAAAAGTACAGAGAAGAAAATAGAAATTACCTATAATCCTATTACCCAGAGATAATCACTGTTAACATTTTGGTTTGGTATTGTTTCATTCCCATTTCTTTCCTTTGCATAAATGTTTTTTTAAAATTTGGATTGTATTTCATTGTTTTTCTCTTTATCTTCCATTTCATCTAAATCATTTCCCCCATGGCATTAAATATTCTTTAAAAATGTTTACAATGGGTGCCAAACCATCATATGGCTAGACCATCATTCACTTAAACCCTGTACGGTTGAAAATCTAGTTTTCTTCCTCCAGTTATATATGATGCTGGCATGAATAGCCCTTCTGTTAATCTTTGTCTACTTCTGATTACTTTCCCTGTATGAATTCTTAGAGAATTAAGGTTGATGATACTGAAAAATTGCTTTTCCAGAAAGTAGCAATTAGGTCCACTTCCAACAATATATGTCATTTATGACGTTTCTTTCTCCTCATTATGTTTTCTCTGGTGTTGAATAAGCTGTGAACTATAACGATAGGCTTTCCCACACTCACTACATTTATAGGGTTTCTCCTTTGTGTGGGTTCTTAAATGTAGAATAACTTGAGAAGTCTGCCTGAAGGTTTTTCCACACTCGTTGCATTTATAGGGTTTCTCTCCAGTGTGCACTCTCTGATGATCAATAAGATTTCGATTAGAAGTAAAAGCTTTCCCACACTCATTACATTTGTAAGGTTTCTCTCTACGATGAAGTCGCTGATGTTCATTAAGGGTCTTCTTTAAGATGAAAGCTTTCCCACACTCATCACATTCATAAGGCTTCTCCCCAGTGTGAATTCTCTGATGGTCCATAATCTTTGTATTAGAAACACATGTTTTCCCACACTCCTTACATTTGTAAACTTTTTTTCCTTTGTGCATTCTCTGATGTTGAGTAAGGTTTGAACTACGGCTAAAGGCTTTCCCGCACTCGATACAAGTGTAGGGCTTCTCGCCAGTGTGAACTCTGTGATGTGAAATCAGACCAGAACTCCGACTAAAGGCTTTTCCACACTCCTTACATTCATAAGTTTTCTCCCCACTGTGGATTCCCTGGTGCCGAATGAGGTGTGACTTACCACTGAAAGATTTCCCACATTCGCTGCACGTGTAGGGCTTCAGTCCAGTGTGGATTCTCTGATGAACAACCAGGTTGGAGCTATGACTGAAGGCTTTTCCACACTCCTTACACTTATAGGGTTTCTCTCCTGTGTGGATTCGTTCATGTACTGTGAGGTTTGCACTCTGACTAAAGGCTTTCCCACACTCAGTACACACATACTGTCTCTTTTCAGCCTGACTTCTCTCATTTATTGTAGGGTCATCTTTTTCAGATTCTTGGTCCCTCACTTCTGTGAATGTTTTATTATCCTTAACTGTCTTCTGTTTGAAGTTTCTCATCTTTCTCCTCATTTTCTCTTGCTTGAAGCATCCCAGTGGCCCCTTGAGTCTTCCCTTTCCCTTCAGAGGAGCTTTCTAAACATTGACTTCCTTGGCAACACCTCTGCAGAGTTTTCTTGAAAGTATGAGATTCAGATTTTTTGGGAATGATGTTTTTGAATCAATACTTCCTCAATCCCCGTTTCACCATCTGACAGAAGAAAGAAAAGTTGCACATGTCACCTGCTCTCTATACTAGAGGAAGGAGAATTATCCAAGGATAACAAGATGTGGCAGAACACAAGGTCCCTCATGGAAAAGTAGGTGTTCAAAGGCAGGGGGACCTGATCAAAAAGATGAGAAAAATGAGGATAGACATAGAAGCCAATGGAAAGGCTTATGGAAAGCCAGGGGCTGACAGGAGCCCAACATGTCCAGCATCAGAATGAACGATGAGTAGTATAAAACCCATCCTGGTTTCTTCCTGTCTCATGCTCTACTCCCAGAATTGGAGCCATCTAACTCCTAATCTGATCCCTAGAAAAAATGCACTGAAAGATCCTTCGTTCAGTAGCTTAAGTGACTAATCTTCAGATCAGTTTGGCATTTAGTTCATGCTGACCTATTCCCCTAGTACCAGTGATATAGTGGCTGGAACAAAATAGGTGCTCAAAAATTGTTTTATAGAATAATAACTCTGATTTTGTCTTAAGGTATGACTAAGATTTCATCTTTTGCTTTGGTTGAGGTACTACATCCCTCTTCTTAAACTTTGTTGTGATAGGGGTAACACAATTCTTCCAATATTGGAGTGTAGTCATATCACAGCCTACTCTGTAGCGGCTGGTCTGTAGCTGGATTCAGCTGTATGTGCTAGTTCAGTCTGTCTGCTTTTCACCAAGCAGTCTACTGGGTGAACCTGAGAGGCTGAACTAGGAAACAGGGTTAATTAAAGCATGGCAGGGGAAACTCTAATAGGACCTTGCATGGTACAGTGGTAAAGTATCTAAAGATGGCAGTAGGGTGAGAGCAGTGGGCAGCACAACCAAGAGGGGCCAATACATGAAACCAATGTCAGGGATGAGCAGGAATTTCCCAACTGGTTTGATGTAAAGCTCTGAACATATAGATATCCCTAGCAGACCTCAATCTAGAGGGGACTGAGTCATAAAAGAAAACTGAAAGATGACTCCATGATACTAACACATGACTAATTTTCCTTTTACTATGTTCCTTTTCAGACTTGTCCATATTCATAATTATATAGTTGTAAATATACAGTAGATATAATTTTGCATCCTACTTCTTTTACTTATTATAAGTATTTTTCCATATTGCTATTAACTCTTCATATGATCATTTTCTGACTGCATAATTCACCACCAATTAAACTCCTTACAGTTTACCTACAATTTTGCTAGTGTCAGACATTTCTGTTGTTCCCTGAGGTTTAACCACTATTAATAACGCTATCATGATCACTCTATACATATAAAGTTTTCTTCTCATTGAAATATATTCCTAGGATAAAAGTTCCACAAGTGAGTGAGTGGGTCAGAAGGAATGACGTTGTTTTGTAGTACTACCTACTGCTTTTCAAAAAGTTTGACCAGTTTTCATTATCACATAGCATTCTGATAAACTGAGTGAAGATCTCTGATGGAGGGACATATTCAATGGTGAGTGCTCAAGGCCAGCAAGAAGAGAACTGTGGAGGTTAGAGTTCACATCTCAGAAAGGTTAGTGCCACCCATATGATACACAGGCACATATACACAGACTCATGCCCAAGATATGGAGGGCAGGCAGAGAAAATGGTGGGGGAGGAGGGGTTCTTGGCAGGAGCCTGAGCACACTCACATCCAGCTGCTGTTACCCTCCTAATCAAACAGGAGTTAGCAGGTGGAGGAAACTCAGTGAGAAGCCAGGGGAACTGCAGAGCAGAGTGGGACAGTAAGTGAAGCCGCCTCCAGAGTTCTGAGAAAGTTGATGGTTCTTTCTCAGTTTCTTTTCCATTTTTAATCTTCTCTGAAACTTTCTTTTCTTCATACATTTCTTCAACTAGTAATTATTGAACACTCTACCCTGTACATATCTCTGTCCTGGGTCTCACGCAGGGAAATTTCAAAAAGCATTGTTGCAGAAAAGTGAAACCATTTGTGGTATGAATGAATGGATGGATGACTAGGTGGATACGTTTATGGACTTGCTGTTATGAAAGCCTCCCATTTTGCTGGCAAACTGTCCTCTGCTAACTTGTGTTATTGTTTAATTCTTCTTTCTACAGTATTACTTATGAAAATTCAGGAAATGACTTTAGAGGAACAAATTCCCATAATTACTAGAACAAAGTATGTTAGAGATTCAGAATGAGACGGTGCCCTGAAGCCAGCCCCCGGATGTCTCATTTCTAGGCATGGCTGATCCAATGCTCCCCAGTTAGCTAGTGCAGTCTATTATATCCTTAAAGGCTGTTATGGAAAGATCAGGCTTGCAGCCTTCCAAAAAGAGGTGTTCAGGAAAAATATTAATAACCAGGTATTTACATGACTCCGTCTTCCATAAGCAATAAATACCATTATTGAATGCAAAAAAAAAAAAAAAAAAGTTCTGTTACACAGTGTCCCTCCAAAATTCATATGTTGAACCCCAAGCCCCCAATGTGACTATATTTGGAGATGTGAGTTCTAAGCGGGTAATTAAGGCTAAATGAGGTTATAAGCGTGGGCCCTGACCCAGTAGGATTAATGTGTCCATATAGGAAGACATACAAGAGAGTTAGCTTTCAACTTGCACTCCTGCCCCCTTCCCACCACATACACAAACCGAGGAAAGCCATGTGAGCACACAGCAAGAAGGTGGCTATCTACAAGCCAGGAATAGAGTCCTCACCAGAAACTGAATCAGCCAGTCATCATGATCTTGGACTTCTAGTCTCCATAACTGTGAGAAAATAAATGTCTGTTGTTTAAGCCACCCAATCTGTGGAATTTTGTTATGGAGGCCCAAGGAGACTAATATAAACGTGAAATATCATACCTACTTTTAAGGAACTTATAATGGAGTGATGACAATATACTAAGAAAGTAAATTACAAATTTACAAAGTACCCAATCAGGGGATGAAGGGCTAGGAGAGGGAGTGAGTACTGGGGCTTGAGACGCTTGTGGAAAGGTGCTTTAAAAAGGCAGAACTTTGGCTGAACCTGAGGATAAGCAAGAACTGTTTTCTCAAAAGGATGTTAGCACAGGGTTGATGTACTCAGAAATAAGTGGGAGGCTACACTATCACATAGCTTTATGAAGGCAGGGATTTTTGTCCATATTGTTCATTATTGTATTCCTAGCAAAGTTCCAGGCACATACCAAGCACTCAAAAAAATTTTTTTTGTTGTTTCATGAACAAATGAGGAAATAAAACAATCGAATTGCGTGAAGTGATACCAGCCAGAACACTGAAATCACGGGGCAAAAAATATGGATATAATCTGCTGGTCAACAGGAAACAAGTTCTAAATGGAAGAGTGAAATCTACCCTTAATTTCCTCTCTGTTTTCTATATTCTTTTTTTGGCTGCACCATGGCACAGCTTGCAGGATCCTAGTTCCCTGATCAGGGATCTTACCTGTGCCCCCCGCAGTGGAAGCTCGGAGCCCTAACCACTGGATCACGAAGGAATTCCCTCTATTTTCCATATTCTTTTTTCTACCTTGCTATTCTCTTTTCTTGTTACTTTCCTTCTCATTCTCACTTGTCAAGAGCAAAGTTTTTCAAGCATTACCATTCATTTCCCCTAGTCCCAGACTTCCCTCCACCCCCAGCACATTCATGTTTCTCTGGGCTTCATGCAGTGGAAAACAGGAAAGAGGCAGCTGGGGTATCCCATGAGGAGTAAACTGAGGAAAATAAAAAGAAAGAATCCAAGAGCTGTCACCTAGGAGTAGGGCGATCATATACCCTGGTTTTCCCAGAATAGTCCTGGTTTATACCTGCTATTCCAGCATCATTATTCTTTATTTTTTTATTAAAAATTTTTTTTCCAGCATCATTATTAATAGTGCCCCCCTTAATTCACAAAAGCATCCCAGTTTGGATAATAAATTTTGTATCACCCTACCCAAAAGTGAAATTAGGAAAAGAATGCTTTCGGAAGATTAGCCCAGATGGATTAGAGTGGAAAAAAAGAATGGAGGAAGGGAAATGAGTTGGGAGAAAAGTTTAGGAATGCAGTATGGGTGACCATTAGAGGGCCTGCAACTTTCTAGGTGCTGAATAAATGTTTGCTGAATGAATAAACAAATGTATGAGATAGTGAGACCCTAGTCCAGAATAACAACAGGATAGAAAACAAGTCCAGCTATTTCCAGGAAAGCATATGCATATATCAGACTGGATATAGAGGATGACTAAAGGAAAGAATTCTAGGCCATCAGATCCAGGTCTAAATATTGAGAATGGTACTATCGCTAAGAAAGATGGGGATGTGGGAAAACACTTTAGACAAGAGGAGGAAGAATATGTCAGGAATACTAATTTGAGAATAAGACATAGGGGACAGATGAAGTCATGAAAATGTATAAGCTTGCTGAAATAGAGATTTTGGTTAAAGAGCAGACAGAGAGAAAGAGAAATGCACAAGGACGTGTTGTAAGGATGCTCAGGGTGGTTCTGGGGGACCTGAGGAGGAAGCAAGACTTATCAGGAGAGCAGGGAGGGATAGTTTGAAGAGAGTTTGATCCAAGGAAACCTAACTATTTGCCCTCTGCCCAAATGGATGGGAAATTCCCTCAGAAATTCTGGAAGAATTCCCAGGCAGTAGGGAGGTGGGGTCTTAGCTAAAGAAGTAGGAGGAGGGACAGATGAGGCTATAAGGATAGCAAGTCACTAGGAGTATCCAGGCAACTGG